AGAAAATTTGTTTTAAATTACCGTTTTTCCTGTACCAGATCATAAGTTTTAAAACGACAGCTTGGTAAAATATCTAGTAAGTAAGACAGACAAAAGGGGATAATACAGACAAACCCCTAATTATATCAAGTGTATGGATTATAAATGGTTATAATTTAGGTATATAAAATTCAGAAATATTTGTACATTAATCGACGAATACATTGAACTCAATTTTGGGAAATAAAAATTAGGCCTATCTAGCAAAACATATTGTTGGTTTATTGGTTTGAAAAACAAATAGGAAGTAGCCTAATGTTGTATACAATACATTTTTTATGAAAGATATTTACATTTAACGAAGATAATATAATAAAACCCTTTTTTCATTTAAATTAGGGCTTGCAGGTATGTAAATTCTTTATAATAATATATAAATTGTAAAGCGTATCCAGTGTTAAGTCACTTAAAAAAAACCCCTGCGAATTTATATACGTTATAATTTCTATCCCTGTAGCAGTTCAGACACATTTAAGTGTTTTTTTTTTATTAATAAAAGTAATAAAGTTTTTTTATCATTTCAGCATTTGGTCTGAAACCCTAAGAAGACTTAAGCATTCAATATGTGCCCGTCTCACATCGAAGCTGGCAGCTTTCCAAAACTTTGCCCTGAATTTTTATCTTGACAACTTTAGAGAAGAAAATACTGCTTGCAAATAAAGCTTAAGTAACGAAATTATCTATGCAAAGACACTGGTAAAAAGTAGGCCAGGTCTTCTCTTGATTCAGGGAATTAATTTTAAGAGAACAGTGTTTCTAAAAGTGTAAACATTTTTTATCATTTCATGATATATATTTTAAAAGCTAGATATGAAAAATTCACACTCATAGAAGTCATTGATAAGCGATTTAAACACCTTTTTTATGTTTGTTTACGAGATTCAGTTAATCTTTTATTGCTTAGTTTAGATTTTCATAACAATCAAACTGGCATAATGCCCAATTGCACATTGCTTTTTTATTCCAAGTATTAAACTTATAATTTTATGAACATTAAATATTATAGCATAGAAAACCATCAGCATCGTTTTTATATAAAAAAACTCAAGATACTTTGTTCATTTAAATGTTCAACTTCTTAAACTGCAAGAGGAATTCCGATAAGGCAATCTTTAAGTTGACTATATGACTGCTGAGCTTACAGTCACATCTTGAATGCATATAACTTTAATCTAGTGTCCACTATCATAGAATGGCAACGTTAATTAATAAATTTACATTTCAGAACACATCACCGAAATATAAAATATAGTGGACATTCAAAGCTAAATTCCTTTAGTTTACACTAAAAGGTTTGAACCAATTCTCATAGTACGTATAATTGAAGAGTCTCTGTATTAATTTTCGCTTAACAATACTTTATGCCCTATTGAGTTTAAGACTTATAGGTTTCAAGCGATAAAGTATACATTAACTATCCCAATTTGTAAATTTTGTCAGTTAAGTCAATAATGACCAAAAGTGAGCAAAAGCTTACTACAATTTAAAAAGTAATATACGGTGGTTGTTGAAACGGTTAAAAAATATGTCAAATGTTCTTAACCAGATCTTATTTTTTTATTTATTTTTTTTTTTTTTGTAAATTCTACTCGTATTAAAGCATCAATAGTTGTAAGTAGTAATTAATATCCTAATTCCTGTGCGTTAAAGCATTTATTAATACAGTAGGTTTGAAAGAAGTAATTTATTCAATGTAAACGGATATTTTTAATTAATAAGTTAACATTTGTTTAACTTGTAATTTATTATTTCAAAGTTTCCTTAACATTTTATCTAAACAACATTTCCCTACAGTATTATTTGATAACCTTCGCATTTCCCTAAGGTGACTAGTGAGCTTTCCAATGTAAAAAAGAAAATTAATGTACATTAAATAACTCCTTGTAAACACAATTAATGATTTTTAGCTTTCTTTAAGGAAACTAGTAAAGTTTTATTTGCAAGGAGTATTTAATATAAGTGTAATTATCTTTTTAATATTTAAATCTAAGAAAAGGTACATATTTGCATAGCATTGAAAGATGCACTACAAGTGAAATAACATTGGCCGAGTAAAATATATTTAATCAACAACACACATACATACATTCAGTTTGATATTAGTTATTTTATATTAATTAATTTTTGTATCAAAATTAATTTAGTCCAACCTAAAGTAAGTAGCAGTTCGTGTAATATTATACAATGTCTAATTAATTATATCAAATAATTATATTGAAATGGTAAAAAACATAATTTGCTGCTAGTTTACCCATACAATAAGGACCAAATTAAACATTATTTATCAGTTTTAAGCGTAAATTGAGAACTAAGCATTTTAACACGTTTAATAGAAGACTAAAAGAATAGTTGCTGAATTATTTGCCTTGTATAGACTTGTTTTTATAATTCAATCCTAAAAATGTTAATCTATTTAAACATGGGATAAGCTTATATAACTAGTCTTGTAAAATACATCCAACTAAACTTTGAGAAAGCAATAAGATATCAAATGTATTCCTTTAGAGACCTTAGAAAACCTTTTGTCCAAAACAAGTTAATTAGCTAAATTTATGTGTACACTCTAGTTTCAATTTTAGTGTACCTAAACTTGTTTTGGTTTTAAGTAAACGTTTATGTTTTGTTTCCCCAACCAGAAACTTTAGTTATTTTTGTTGTTAGAAAACAGTGTTTAATTTTACATAGCAATGATTTGTGAAACTTTGTATTTCCTCCAGACGTTTTTGAATTATTCATTTAATTTCTTTAAAAAAACGGAGTTACAATTTATTTATAAAAGTCGAGATATCATTTTAGACATTACTTTAAAAGAAGTAGTAAATGCTTTTCGCAATAATTGTTTTTGTTTAGGAAGAATATTAAGAACTATATATTATATTCTTGAAACTAAATTAGGCATAGTATCAGTTTACCAAAAGCATTTAATATAATACAAACAGGTAATGTAGAGCAATGAATTAAATACATATATAAAACATGTACAACATTTACAATCTTTTATTAGTATTTATCGTCTTGCGAGTCAACTGTATAATTATAAATATATTATTACAAGTGTTATTAGACGTATATTTTTCAGATATACAGGGTGTCCCACGGGAAATAATATTATTTCATCCTTGGACGTTAAGCCGTTCTTCGGTGATTAATTTGAGACACCTTACGTGGGAAACCCTGGATAATTTATCACATATATCGGAATGTTTAGTCCTTTTTGTTGTTGGAAAAGAGTGTTTAATTTACATAACAAATGTTGTGAATTTTTCTTCTGACGTTTATGATTTATTAATTTCATTTCTTTAAAATAATGGAGTTACAATTTTACATTACAATGCTAAAAAAACACTGTTGAGCAAATATTGGATTTCAGAGGGTAGTAGAATTAAATATTCAGCAATGAAACTCAATATAATAACATTATGAGAACATAAGTTTATGCTTTAATGGAATACTCACTCTGCGTCCCTTCGAGACATGTGCAGTCTTAATACTCGAACGTGAGTCTTCAGTCCTTCTGGAGTTTAATGGACGAAAAAGACCAATTTATAAAATAATTCAGAAATTTACTGAATATTAATCCAACGAAAATCAGTTCAGATGGGAGACGATGTGTCGATGTTGTTTCTGGCATTCCGCCACGTCACGACAACACTGTAGGTTCCTTACACTGATACAGCCTCCTAAGTAAATACAGTTTTTAAGTAAAGACATTATTACTACAATATCAATGAACCCATGTTAACATTAATATTCCTATTTTATAAACCACAAAAGGGATTTTGCTTTTTTTATATGCAACCTCAATAACAAATAATTGAATCCCCCCACACAGTTCTTGAACCAATGTCTTTCATCGTGGTAAAACTTGATATCTTTCACAGATACTATTCTTCCATTTAAAACCAAGGAATAATTTAGAAAAGTGTATACAATTTACAATCACCCCACCAAATCAACCCCCCCCCCCTCTAATATTTCCGTATCAAAAGCACTTTAGCAGCATTAGACTACAGTGCTTAGCATTTTACTAAGTTCTTATTATTGTATTATTTTACTCAGTAACAGATTTTCTACAAGGATATTTCCAACATTCCCCCAACCAAAAAAGGGGGCATGGGGGTGGAGCTATACCCGATATGTATTATATTTAATAATATAATATATTATTATATTATAAAAATGGTTCAGTGAAATTAAATAGGGATCAGTTATTTGACTACGCAGGCACTGAATATTTTATAATAAAGCTATTTATCATTATAAAAAATGTCTCGGTTCAGTTGATACGTGGTTTTATCAAGTTTAAAATTTATAGTATTTTAACAAAAAAATATATTTAAAATATTGAAAATATGAAAAATCTGACATTTTAATAAAGTTTTTTTTTTTATCAAGAAAATAGAAATTCACTTAGTCTGCAGTTTCGTTGTAGGGGAGATTTATTTTTTTATTTTAGTCAAGCATATTATTTTAATTTTAAGAGTAGTAGTTATTTGTTTAATAAATTAAACTGTCAACTGAACTCTCCTAATTCGTTATAATTAACTGTTACCAACTAATGAATGGAGTACATAACATGCCTGAGCTGAAGGCCTAACAAATTATCAAAATTTTAGAACAACGTGGATAGTAACTTTAAGATAACGAAGTTAAGATAACGAAATTATGAAGTTCGTTTGGATAAACAATTTATTATTATATTTACTGTATACATTGATAATTATAGTGGGCCACAAATAGAGTTTTCTCAATATTTCTGATATATAATATTGTAAATTCTTAGATGAAGAATAATAGAAAAAAATTTATTATAGAACCCATCCTGTATTCAAATACTATTAATATTTCCTTCTCACTTGGTTTTCTTCGCTTTGAATAGTTGGATACGATATTATAGTACATTTGAAATTTACTATTCGTAATGTGATATACAATTTATAATACTTACAAATTTTTTTCAGATGACGTTAATGGAGAAGGGGACGTTGATACGAAACACACATATTTACATTCGACTGCTGAGAGTGATCGAAATATAAAGCTCGATGAATCAACAAACTGGCTCATAACCCAATCATAACGATGATCCGGACAATTTTTATACTAGAGTCCACAAAATGATAATCGAAAAGGAGAACCTCCTACTATATCTCAAGCTGTTTCTAGTTCGTTATAGCTGTTTCAGATTTACGATTTGAAAATTGTTTATCTAGTAATTGTTCAAGTTTTCTATACTATTTAAACATTTTTGTCTATTATAAATGAGCTTTTAACCCTAAGCCCCTTGACCACCGGAGCCTGTAATATGAAATGAGAGGTTAGACGGGATGGGAAGACGATGTCACGTGACCACACACTCGCACGCACATGCACACACTGTGTCTGCTAAAAGACTTTGTCTGCTGTTCTGCAACAACGCTGTCTTGCTATTGTACGTGCTGAGCCTAGGAGAGCCCAAGACTTTGACAAGAGTTGTACAGACCAAGTACGGAAAACTACAGGGATTCCTCAGACCATTGCCTTCACCACTCAAACCTATTGAGGTAGACGATTGAACAACATAGTAAATAGCTAATTAAGTTGAAAGGAGTTGTTCAGCTTCCTTTATATTGTTTTACACATCATGATATATAGGCCTGTTGATTATGTAAAAATTGAGTGATCTCAAGTACATCGCATGTTTAAGATTCCCTGTTGTCATTAGCAATATTTACTGTTTGAGATTTTGTAAGGAAAAACACTGATATATATTGCATAGTTTACACAATGGTATATGTATTAAACTCGCCTTTGGCTCGAGAAATGGTCACGGGGGACCGGGTGTTGTCCGGGATTTTTATCTACGTTGATAACGCGGATTTAGGTAATATCACAGATTTAGAGGATTTTATAGATGGGTTGTTTCTGGTGAATATCACACAATTATTAAAATGTCAGAGTCTCGATGTGGGACCGGTGCTATAATGAATAAATTCGCTAAGTCCTAACCTCTAAAACTCTCTTTACTTCAATAATCATAGATATAAAGTTATAATCTTAGGAGAGATCAAATAAGAGGGAGATAAAATATTTTGAATTATCGTAGGCCCCTTCGGGGAAGGGGGGGCTTAAAGTCATCGCTATGAAGAATAGGCCCTCTTTGGTCGAAAACATGAAAGTTAAAACTACACTTATAGGAAACGTTATTATTATTACCACTTGTCACGTTTCCGGAAGAGGCGGGGGCGGGGTTAAATATAAGGCATAAACATATATGGGGATTTTCAAAATGGTTGTAATTCAAACAATTGCCGTTTCAGACCAACAAACCTACAACAATTCAAAATATCTAGAACGTCTAGAAACAGTTGAACATTATTCTCAAAAGGAGGATTCAGAGTGTGGGGGGGGGGGGGTTTAGACCGTGACCAACTTACCTAAGGGTTAGCAAGAGCTTTAAATCGCATTTTATTATCCTCACGTTTATTTCACATAAGATTTACATATGTTTAATCAATTGAGGAGAGTTTAATTATAAATATGAGAACTTTAAATATCTTTAAGGTAATTTGGGCCAAAGACCAACACCTCTACCAATTTTCAAAACTCTAGCTCTTATACGAGTGGGTAAGAGGGCATAATACAAAATTCCAAATACACATCTATCAAAATGGTGGTTTTTGATGGGGTTGGAGTGAAGATACGTGAAAGGCGTTGGAACAAAATTTACACAATAAAAATTTGTAATCATCATTAGTTTTATTTCATATAATCTTACCGGTTTCATTTTAGTCATGGTCATTATTTAGTATTGGTCCTTTTATCAGGATATGTATGGGTACAGTTTCGAAGCGGTTCAAGGTCCCTTAACTTTTTGATGGTTCCAACCTAGCAAACTTTTTGATAGTTCAGTGGGTGTATTAAAGTTGCACTGACATTTTAAAGAAGGTAGGATGCTATTTAGAAATGTATCTAAACTGCCTTAGAAAAAAAAAAAAAAAAAAAAAAAAAAAAACTGTTCTTCTCTGTGGAATTAAATAAAAATAATCTTTAGAGAAATCAGTGGTGTCTTTTTTTACAACATAAGCCATAGCTTGTTCCAAATTCCTGTTAAAGGTGTTCCTGGGAGTCCCGTACGCTACGCCACCTGTTGGAGTAAACAGATTTAGCCCTACAAGAACGCCGGGACCGTGGTCTGGAGTGCGGTTAGCGGACAACTTCAGCCCGGTCTGTCCGCAACACCTTCCTCGACTTGACAACGAGACGTTAGAGAACATGCCGCGTCAGAGACTGGAGATGATACGGCGACTGTTCCCGTTGCTGAAGAACTACAGTGAAGACTGTTTATACCTCAATGTCTACGCACCAATGCAAGGTGAGCGGGCAGGGAATATGATAGGTAGCTTTATGCAAATTGTCTAAGCAAAGGGTTGTTAACCTCTTTACATTTACAGACATAATCTTCGCTTGTGTATGAATAGGAAAGATAATAGGTTATACTGTATTAATGACTGTTAAGATTTCAGATTAAATAACAAGTATGTTTCATAATTGTGCTCACATTGCAGACCACGCATTCATTGGAACTAATACAACATCACAATTGATAATGGACACTAATTTACCGTAAATGCATTTTTCTTTAAGTAAAAATGTCCTGATAACCACAACAATTCCTTGTAAACTGCAATGCTTTTTTTTATTGAAAATGCATGTAATATTTATATCTGACAAAGGCCAACATTAAATATTATCAAGATGAGGATTTGGACTGTTCTAAAAAAAAAAATCCAAAGATGCCTAAAATAAAAATAAACAATTTATAATAAAATCAAAATAATATCAGGAGCGTAAAAAGAAACTAACCAAAATACAGTAACAATGTAACCTTCACTACTGTATATCTTAGCATCCATGCATATTCAGCTTGGTATTCACTTTACAATGTGTTTACAGAAGGGAGTGTACAAGCCAGGCTGCCCGTGTTGGTGTTTATACACGGAGGATCTTACTTATGGAACAGTGGGAATATATATGATGCTGGTGTGTTAGCTAGCTACAGCCAAGTGGTGGTGGTCACCATCAACTACAGGCTCGGAGTGTTAGGTATGATAAACTGATAATCGTGTTTCCTTATGTTTGGAGGAAAGAGCAATATAATACAGAAAATGAGAAACGTGTTTTATACTTGACAAAGAGGTGCTGGGTCGCTGTATTCACGATGGTCGGTTCCTTGGTGGAATTTAAACCTTGGTACCAAAATTGAATGTCTGACCTCTAATAACTTCGCCACCACCGTGTTTAATAATTTGAAAATGAAAAATATAACCTGTATTGATATATAGACTGAATTTAGGATGATTACGTAATCAATTTACTAATACCACGTCTGGTGTTGAATAGGACAACTCTATTATAGAAGGCTAATTCTCCTAATGACCATTGGACACATTTTTCACATAGGAGAAAGCCCTCCAAAATAATTAACTAAAAAAATTAAATGACAAACTGGAATGAAGCAATTATTAGAAATTACATTGAGAGACTAAAAAGTTTCTTTTAGAAATGTTACCAAATGGTTACATTTTTCAAGAAAACTATATATATATATGACAAGACTCTGATTTTCTTTAAGTAACAGGAATGTATGCATTAACCGTTTGTGACATTCCTATTTCAATTCATGGAGTTTAAAGTAAGTTTAAGTTTAAATTATATTACAACAAATATTCGCTTCCCCAAGGTTTTCTCAACGCCAACATGGCGCCCTACTCGTCCGCCAGAGTTAACTGGAATGAAAAAACTGCAATTATTAGAAATTACATTGAGGGACTAAAAAGTTTCTTTTAGAAATGTTACCAAAACGTGTGTGGTCAAGAAATGTGTTCAAGAAAACTATATCTGACACGACTCTGTTTTTCTTTAAGTAACAGGAATGTATGCATTAACCATTTGTGACATTCCTATTTCAATTCATGGAGTTTAAAGTAAGTTTAAGTTTAAATTGTATTAGAAAAAATATTGGTTTTCCCAAGGTTTTCTCAACGCCAACATGGCGCCCTACTCGTCCGCCAGAGTTAACTGGAATGAAAAAACTGCAATTATTAGAAATTACATTGAGGGACTAAAAAGTTTCTTTTAGAAATGTTACCAAAACGTGTGTGGTCAAGAAATGTGTTCAAGAAAACTATATCTGACACGACTCTGTTTTTCTTTAAGTAACAGGAATGTATGCATTAACCATTTGTGACATTCCTATTTAAATTCATGGAGTTTCAAGTAAGTTTAAATTTAAATTGTATTAGAAAAAATATTTGTTTTCCCAAGGTTTTCTCAACGCCAACATGGCGCCCTACTCGTCAGCCAGAGTTGCCAACTACGGACTGATGGACCAGGTGGCAGCCCTGCACTGGGTACAGCAGAACATAGCAGCTTTTGGTGGGGATCCTGACAATGTAACTCTGCTGGGACACGGGACTGGAGCTGCTTGTATACAATTCCTTATTATGTCACCAACCGTGATGCCAGGTTAGACTTAGAGTAAATAAGTCATCCAGTTTGTCCTTTGCCTGGAACATTATTTACACATTACTTCACCCTTGGCCTGGATGGTTGTGGCATTATCTCTAAGATTAAATCTATTGCAGATTAGCGAGATTTTGTCTAGCACGCGACAACTTGACCATCTCACTCCTCTAAAATAAATAAGGGTTAATGTCTATTAGGGAAAAAGATTGAAAAGTAATACTAGTTACCCAACGACGGTTTTCTAAACTAGCCGTTCCACTCCAGTTCTTAGAATTGAAATGATTCACTCAACAGCATTGATCACTCACTTAATTACATTACGAGTAACATACCAATGAGATTCAAGGATTTTGGGAAAAGAAGTAAAATTGTAATGACAGTAAGTCATTGCATCGCTGTCAGTGGCAATGAGAGGATATAAACTAAAACATAACCTCACTTAGAAGTTGTGGGTAGTGATTGTTATTAATTAAAAACGGTCGTAGGTAAAATAGTGTACGCAACGCAAGCCTTAGTTGTTACGTGATCGTTGTGTAAACCACTATTTTGAAATTTATTTCGCAACACGTTTCTAAGGGGATTTAAAAATGAAATTATACAACAGTATACATTGCTAAATTACATTTCTTAAACATACGCAACCTACCGTAATTACATTACTATAAACTAATATATTTTAAATAAACTAAATAAACATAATATACTAAATAAACGAATAGAACGTAAAGAGGCCAAATAAACCTGCCATTATAACAAATACCCTACCAAATCTATGAATATTCTAATTTCAATAAAATTTTCCATCACTTTATTACATACAAATACTGTATATCTTGCATAGTATCAACATGTATTGCAAACTCCCTTGCCATCGATGATAGATTCAAACTACCAAATCCGGTTTTATTACTATTCTCCTAAGCACTGAAAATGTGACATGAACATAACATTCGCATTCTAACAGACATGGTAGGAATGGAAATGTCAGGAACAGCACACTAGAACGATTTTATGTGCTTGAAGTAAGTGTCATTTGAGGCAGTACAACTGCGGAGCTCTTAGAACAGAGTCGTGAAAGTTTACTGAGCCAACCACCAATATCGAATGCTGAATATGATATTGAAATCCAACCCCATAACCGATCCCGTACCCGACGTTATCGTTAAACCTCTTTATATTTTACCCACGTTTCTTTTTCCCAATTTGTTTATAGTTTGGTAAGATTTTGTGCATTTTGTCAAAAAATATTATGTGAAAAAATGTTGTGTTAAATATAATATTAAATGATTATGGAAAAATAATTTAATACAATATTATATTATAGCCTATTTTGGTTTTGAGGAATGGACATAAAACATGTTTAATTTCTAATTACTTAATAAAAAAAACTATAACAGAAAACAGCACAACTAAAATACATTTAAAATAATTCTAGATCAATTAGAACAGCATTTTTTTAAACTCTTTATTTAAACATGCATTTTTGAATGCCACGAATTAACAAAATAACAAGATGCGATTAATACAAATAACTGGTTACTGTTTAATACTGTACTAAACTTCCCATATTCCTTTTCAGTATGTAAATTACATAGGTCAAAATATAAAACTAAAACTGATTTGCAGGTTTATTCCATCGCGCCGTGCTTCTCTCAGGGTCCGCCCTCAGCAGCTGGTCCCTAGTAGAAGACCCTGTCTACTGGGCCGTGCGTCTCGCCAGACAACTAGACTGTCCTGTGCCAGACGATCTCCTAGCAGACCACGAGACCATTGTAGACTGTCTGAGAGAAGTGCCTCTGGCCAAACTGATGAAAGCAGACATCCAATCTCCAGCACACCTCTCCTCCTTCGGCCCCAGCGTGGACGGCGTCGTCATCAAACACAACTTCCGCAAAGAGATGCTGACTGTTAGTGGGTACAACCCATCCAGTGACTCTCCCTTCAACAGTTACGACCTACTACTAGGGGTCGTGTCCAACGAGGTGCTTTCTAGGTTCTCCCTTAAAGATCTTAGAGCCGGATTCGACGTTCAGCGGAGGGATAAAATATTAAGGACTTATATCCGAAACGCGTATAATTATCATTTATCGGAGATCTATTACTCGGTTGTGAATGAATACACAGACTGGGATAGAAGTGTGGACCCGCTAGCGGTGTTGGGAGCTACTGTATCTGCGCTGGGGGATGCGCTGTACAACGCTCCCTTAGTACAGACTGGGGATATGCTTAGCACACCGCCGCTACCCAGTGGACAGCTGTCACCGACGAGGGCGCGCACGTTCTTCTTTGTGTTCGACTACCAGACCAAAGATGAGGACAATTCGCAGGTAAACGTAAGCAGAGACTCTTACTACAATAATTAAAATGTATATTAATACTGTGCGGGTACGTACGAAAGTAGATATTTTGTGAATATCATCGATTTTATAATACCTTGAATGGAAATTTAAAAGTCGTACGTAATATCTTTTAAATTTCTGGTATTATATTCTATACTTTAATACTTTACTTTAATACTTTCTTATTAAATGGCGACCATACATAGTAGGTATTTAAGGCCAAGCATGAATGGAGATGAGTGTAGGATGAGTGGCGCGATCTTGTATTCTTGTTAGTGACTAAGGCCGACATTCCTTAGACTCAGCTGTTAATTAATAGCCCACACAGCTAATGGCAACTAAGGAACCTACATTTTATAGTGGAATCCGAACCACATTTTTGCCTTGGTATATACGAATTGGTCTAATTGTCAGGACAGTACTGCAAATAGACGTAGTAGTCACTCGTGCGGACGTTAATCCACACCAGGGAGTATCGCATCCACATTGCATGCCTATAAATATCCACAATTCGTCTTAATATTATTTTATCGAGAAGGAAACTTATAAACTAGCAATAAACTTAACATGTAGTCAAAATTAGATGAAAATAATTCCATGAAATAGGTAGATTCTGGTTTTATAATACACAAAAAATCCAAAGATCTCATAATAAACAAAAAATCCTTGCATTGATTAAATATCAATTCAAAATCCACTAATGGTCTAAGCCACCTATCGTGAATTTACTCTAGAATTTAGCTGCGTCAGAAATCTTTAATATATGTTAATATATGTCTTTAGTATATGTGTATGTATCATATTTTCTGAATATTCTATTTTGTAGATCAGTGGTGCCATGCATGGTGAGGAGTTGCCCTATATATTTGGTGCTCCTCTGATCAATTCGCTCAAGCCTTTCCGAGGTAACTTCTCCAGCTACCAGGTCGCACTCTCGGAGTCTTTGATGCTCTTCTTCGGCAACTTCGTCCGATCAGGGTGGGTTCCATTATGTAATAACTAGTTTTAACAAAATATTAATGCATCTCTTGGACTGTCACATTCTTTCCATTCTAAAACTGCTAACTTATACAACGAGATATTGAAATTTGTTTAAGGGAAAATTGCTTTATATCATCGTTTTATAAATTTTAAAATATGACTAATCAACTAAAATTGTTACACCAACACATTTTTTACTTAATATTTCAAATTCTCTACCTAATCAGCTTATTGAGTGTTGATACTCACTAAGTGAAACGTTTGACAAATACTATATGTCTACGTAGAAAAATCTTAATAAAGCCTCGAGGACTTGATTTAAGTTTAAAACATGAAATTAGGAAAACACTTAAGTGCAAAAATGTTACACCTCACTATTGTCATTTACCATCGAAAAACGTTTATGACAGTTTAACATGTTTAGAAATATTTTATACATGTGACGTACTCTTACTCATTTCTCCCGTAGCAATAACGTTATTTGCAGCAATTAAATTAAACAAATCTCACAACACTTTTGAAACATATATTTGCACCTACACTGTTAACTACATATGGCCAGTACATAACAAGGATAGTTAGTAGTGATCAATTTCGATTGGATACTTCAATCATCATTTGACCTAAAAGCGAATCCAACAAGGTCTGATGACCATTTGGAGTAAATATAAGTTTCAAGAGTATTTATTAGACGAATTTTTATTTGCTTGTTGTAAATTTAATTACACGTTCAATGCCGATCAATGAGTTATTTAACCTAATATAGTGGGAAAACAATTTTAACGACAACCAAACCAACAATTTTATTGTGGTCTAAAAAACGTTTTCTCTAAAATCAAATAACTAATGTACTTTAAAAATGTTTTATTTATTTCTTTATCATAAATATCTTAAACGAGTTTAAACATATTACAGCACACCATTATATTTTCAAAGTTCAGAGTAGCTTGAATGAGGTTAACTCGAAGGTATTACATAGTTACAGCTAAGAGAGTATTGATATCACCGTTCTACTAGTGTTTCCCAACAGGTTTCAGCATTACCATAATACTCTACTCCTCTAGCTACTTTAGTTTAATGGTCTCTTACATCTGTTAAAGATAAGAAACTCTTGCAATCTATAATCCAAACCCGTTAGTCTCGATTTAATGATAGTAAAAATACAATTACTACAATTGACAAGTAATTAACGTGGAAATATTTTTGTATGAACTATGATTATATCTGTTAGAAACTTATGACCTCTTTTCCATCCATCTTTTAACAAATGTGTTTTTGCAATCATGATTATTAATAAAACATATTTTAATGTAACATAAATATAAACGATAGTGCGTAATAGAAACTAAGGAAATATAAACATGATTACAACTACATGTTTACACAGTCGGTGAAAAACTGTCGAGCGTCACTATGGGTTGAACATATTTTCCCGATTATTTTTGTTGTTTTCACTTTAGTTGAGTGAAACGATGTTTTATTATATTTAAGACTGTATTAGCTATGTTAGACTTCAAAAAAGAAATCATTTTCTTTCATAATATACGAAACCTAACGTTATTTCGAACTTATTAGTAATTACGATTGACTTTTACATCTTAAATCGTAAATTTGATTTCAATATTTTAGTATTAAACCATTGTGTGTATACAACATATATTAATTTCAAATATTTATTTTTAAAAAGAGAAAAATATGTACACAGTATACCTTAGGTGTAAAAGTAGCATACGTAATCTTTGATAAAGCCCAAAGTACCCATGAACTTTTGAGAAAACTACAAGTCACATCCCCATAAACCATATACTTAAAATGTTTGTCATGACGAGAAACCTATCCATTATTTAATAAATTGCCCTTTAAGGTCGTAATTCCTTTCCAAAGGGAACTTTCAATTTACCTAATGTTAAAAATACCTCAGCTGTACTTATTTGTTTGTATTACTGTGTTCTTTTTTGTTTATTTCTGCTTAAATTACCCATCAATAATTTTATTGATACTTATGGAGTCAAACGGGGTGAAGCCCATGGGTAACAGCTAATTTGGATAGTTACTTAATATATTTTCATGTATTTAATTAATAATATATATAAAGCATATAATTTTGTCATTGTTAGTTGGTTATGTTTTAATTTTTTCGAATGTATTTTATAGAGATCCAAATGAGTACGAGGACAACAACGCGTTTCTTGCTGTGTCTAAAGAACGCAACAGATATCGAGCCTTAGTGTGGGAAGAATATGACATCGCTCACCAGAAGTACCTTGAAATAGGTAAGTGTTATTAGTTTAGTAATTAAATCGAGTAACATTATAATGATAGTTGACTAGATAAACGAGAATTAGTTTTTGGAACAAAACACATGAATACTATGAAACATGAATGGTAATTAAACTAATAGACTAACTACCATATCAATATTCTTTTTATTTTTAACAATAAGTTCTTCCTCTGGGAACGACCACGTCGGAAAACTAGGAGAAACACTAGTTGCTGACGTTTCGACTTCGTTGCAGATAGGCATCTTCAAAGCTGGTGACAGGCCTCACAATGAATTGTCTAAATACTGTACTGTACCGGTTAATTAAATACAGAATCGCCTGATTAGATTTGAAGGTCAGCTTTATTTTAAAGTTGGCTTATTAAGGTAGGGGGAAGATATTAGTCTATAGATATTTCAATGATTTTTTTTTCTTTGAAATATAAACCAATTAGATGCTTATTGTAGTTTGAAATTAAACAATGGCAATCTAGTAATGAGAAATCCCATTGAATTATAATGTCTGATGTGACTGATCCAACTCTTATAACAGTTTTTTTATCATACAAGTCCAAAATATAATTTTTTCGTTTGGGTGTTATGTAATACATTTTTTATAAGCAAACTCAACTAAGTACTATTTTTTATAACTTAGTTGAAATAGTGTTTAACTTAAAAATCCATTTGTAAATTATCGTCCTTTCATTACGATAGTTTCAATAACTCAACAAACTAGTTAGTTGTATTATTTGTGAAGTAAATAACAGTTTTTTTGTCCAAGTTATAAAATTCTAAAGTTATAAAACTTTTTACTAATAAATTTGTATTATAGAAGCCTTGTTATGCAAATGTAATGCAATTGTACTATTAGAATTAAACAACCTCTATGATGTATCGCATCTAAAAGTAATTTGAACGAGTTTAGTTTTATATCAAACAAACACCAACTGCATTGATACGCAAGATGGTAAGGTTATATTGTTTCTAAAAGCAGCATTGTTGTTATTCAACCAACGTATTGAGTTTGAGTATAATACAGTAATATAGAGTAGTTCAGTATTATTAGATTTATAAACAGTGTGGCACAGTTTGCATAGCAAGTTAGCAATATTCCTACCCTGCAGATTCAATTTGGAATGTAAATTTATTATTTTCAAAGGAATACAAATGGAAAATAGTAAGATTATTAGATCTGGAACGTTCAAATACAATCGCAACCTTAAGATTTTCAATATATGTAAAACACTAACCTAAATTAATCCAGTACAAATGGATAAGGTACATCAAACAACATAGCAATTTTTACCGAATTTCAATAATTGCATAATTGTCAAAGAGAGAAATGGTTTATTTACAACCAAACAATTTAAGGATAATAGAAAAAGAGCATTTAATATGAATCAAGAGAAGAATTATTTTACGCTTGTCAGGTAATTATTTTTGAATCTATACAAACAGATCTAAATAATAGGATCATTCACCGTCTAGCTAGCAAAAGATAGCACCAGCTCGTTTTAGTCATTCATCTTCCAGTCTTATTGACTAAACAATGGCTATTAAGCTTTACACCCAATCAAATAAAACTGTATTTTCTTCCTCTTTAGAAATAATAACAGTTTTTTTCAAGTTTCCTACTTAGTACGTGTGAGGATTTGAAAAAATACGTTTGGTCAGATAGCTTAAAGTAGGTTTTTACTAAGTCTGCAGAAAACGTCTTATTTTTAGCGAATGTACAAAAAGCTCTATAATAGAAAGTGGTTTTGGTGACTTTTTTATTTTTAGTATGGAATATCACTACAAGAAAGTCACTGAGGTCAAACTATTAGGTTCATCACACATTCTAACACATTATTTTCGTTCCCCAGGACTCCGGACTAGAGTCAAGAGCCACTACAGAGCACACCAGTTGTCACTATGGCTACGTCTCATCCCTGAGCTTCACAGAGCTGGTGCTCAGAGTTCCAACCCAAACCACAACCAGCTGCAGCATCACGAAGATGCTCAGCTGTACGAGGGCATCGTCAGACCCGACCAGCTGTTTACTCCTGTCTCCATCACGACGACCACACTCGAAGACCTTCCTCAAACCACAGAGGCCACATCTACTTGTGTCAGTGTCGAGACACCCGTCCAGCCGCCCAACACTTCAGAACCTCTCAACGTGGAGTTCGGTTACGAAGCTTACTCCACAGCGCTCACTGTCACCATTGCCATCGGATGTTCTCTCCTCGTCCTTAACATTCTCATATTCGCGAAAGTCTACCATAAAAAGGACACAAAGAAGCCGTTGGAAGAGAATAAGTTGTCGTCAGCTAGTGTTATTGTGGATATGGAGAGGGACTCGGTGTTCTCGAGTGGGTCTTTGGAGAAGACTCCTTCCCAACACTCCCTACACAAGTGTCACCACACAGTGCTTCCTCATATGAACAGTTTGCCCCTCAACCCTCCCAATGGGAGTGTACATAGATACCTCCCCCCGGCCGAGAGCACTCCCCTCCTCCCGTTACCACTAGCGCAGTCTACAGGGTCATTCAAAGTTCCTTCGGCAGCCATCAATGAAATGAGAGTATGATGTTGGACGAACGCTCACGGATATTTTAATAATTATATTTTGTGGAATATTGGTACTACTGATTATTATTAAATTGTCTTTTTACTTTGGGCGTTTTATTAGACCTATGTTTGCATGTATGAGCTTTATATAAACATTCTCTAAAGCTATTTTTTAACCACACTACTGTCAGTAGGTCCAGCAATCACAATAGAAACATTTTTCAAGTTGGTTATTGAGAAGAAATAACAAAATTAACTAAGACAAATTATAACATTTTAACTTTTTTCAACTTTCAATATAAATGAATATGTTAATTCAATACAAAATCAAAATAAAATTAAAAAAAATAGATCGATTTGGGTATGAATATATGTGTATTAAATAACTAAGAAAGAAAATATAAGTATGCAGTAACTTTTATAATTATGTATATAACATGAACACAAAATATTCTTTTAAGATCATTTACTTAGGTTGACACTGTCGCTCAAGTTTAAAAAATAAAATAAATGTGATGCTAATTTTAATATTTTTATCATTATATTGGTTTTTCAATGCCTGTACATATCCAATTTAGAGTCTATTTAGATCAATTTATGGTCAATTCATTTAAAAAAATATTTACAGCTGTATAAAAGGTATAAAATCCGAAACTTTTATCAAACTTTGAAACATGAACTAACGTAATACTGTGCTTCAGTTTCTTGCAAAAAAAGGAATGTAAACCGTGCTACACCCACCCTACAGCCCTGAGCTGGCTCCAAATGATTTTTCTGTATCCTAAGGTGAAAAAGAAGCTCAAAAGGCTGGCGTTTTTCAACTAATACTGCGACTGTTATGACCTTAGAGGCAATTTTGAGAGTTATGTTTAAGGTGGACTTTGGCCACGTCTTCAAGGAGTGTCAAATGCGCTGGAACAAGTTTGTGGCTTTGAATGACATCTACTTAGAAGGATATTAAAGTGTTTACGTGTAAACTTTTTTATTAAAGGTATTGAGTACTGTCAGTCCTTATTGAAAACCCCTCGTATACGTAATAAAAAACTTAAAAGTAACGTAAATTGAGTAGTTTTTAACATTTACAAAAATACGGAAGTATACGTGCTTCCAGTATAACTATTTAACTACATTGTTACCAAGTTTCATGAAAATCCGTTAAAAAACGGTATCCGAAACGGGGGACAAAATTAACGAAGCTACTGCGCTACTAGTCTTTACAAAACTTGGCTCAGGCAGTAGATAAACACCGACGTGTCGTTTCAGTAGTCTTGTGTATAAGATTTATTTTTCAGAACGGCAAGCATAATGACCTCGTGATACCAGCCCGTCCTAACTACCTTACCTTGGGGGTCATACCCACAAAACGCAAGTAGGCCCTACCCCGGATAAATAATCCTTAATCTGAAGTTAATCACCATTGTTACATATTTACATCATCGGAGAAAAACTTTTATTGCAAGACCTGTAATTATATGTTTTAAATTTTTACCTAATGAATTAAGGAATTTGTAATTTGAAACCAACTTTATGTTTTCTTTTCATTACAAAGACACTTATAAAATTCAAATTAACGTAGATTTCCAGAGTTACAAACATTATATGGATCACACAAAACTCTAATTGTATCTACGCTTGTGACTTATACATTTTTCACTAGAAAAAGTCAACATGAGTCTACGTTTTTTGTAATGTTTATTTGTGATTAAACACCTCAAACAAATGTAATACTATTACAGCCTACATATCTGAGATGTAGACAAATATTTGGTATTATCATTGACTATTGGATACTCGGACTTATGAAGATGATTAAAGTAATTGGAAATGCAAGTCAATTTGATATCCCATGTTTTTAATTTATATTATTCCCAATTTTAAATCAATAGGACAAGTTTTGCATAAGACTATACTTTGTGAAAAATCAATAACTTCAATCTATTTTTTAATACATGTTTAATTCGCACTTAAAAGTTGAATGTCAATAATATTGTTTTTGATCTGAGTTAAATACATAGGACAAACTTAAGCATTCAATATGTGCCCGTTTCATATTCCAGATGGCATTTTGCCAGGACTCTGTCCTGAATTTTTATCTTGGCAACTTCAGGAGGTTGGAATACAACGAGAATAAAGTCAGATGAGAAATGAAATTCCTTTTGTTAGGAGAGCTGGCCATAGTTTTGAAAGTACAGCGGTTTATTTTATTTTCTCTGCTTAAGCAGTAAAAGTGTAACTTTTTTCGTGTACATTTATTCTAAATAATTCAATAATTGGAATCTATAGATTATAATAAAAATCTATGTGCATCATCGATGGATTTTACTGTTAATGAGTTTTTTTTTTATAATTTTACATAAATTTGAAAATTATAAAACGTGGTCTCAAAAATAATGTATATAGTTAACAAACTAATACAGTTATTAAATGTTTCTTGTTATATTAATACTACCGCTATTATAACACAAATATAAAAAGTTAAGATTTAGTTTAAATTATACCAGCAAGAGTAGGTGTCGGTAATGAGGTTGATAGATGCACGCCTCTAAAAAAAGACAATTTATCTGATTTTGAATAGATTTATGAGGTTTAGCTTCAATGTGAAAGTATCTTATCCAAAGTAACTTTTGGAATTTCCAGGAAATTAAGCTTAACTCAATTCAATGCTAAAGGGATTTAGGTAATTATTTTTATATGAAAGTTAAGCGCATTCCAGAAATTCACAAAATATAGGGTCTATGAGTTATCGTTTCATTTATCATTTCATAAACAAATTAAGGATTTCTGACGATACTAAACGAACGAAATGTATAGTTTTATACGCTCAAATGCGACATAGTATTATTAAGATAGTTCGTCCATTAAAATAAACATAAATAAATACTATGTCGCATTTGAGCGTATAAAACTATACGCTTCATATTTTTCAGATATTAAACAAAAATAGCGAAACTAAATAATTGATCATAAACAATCCGACTAAAACAAAACGCAAATAATAAAAAAAAATATATATTTTTTTAAGATATTAAATTAAATCTGACGACTTGTTAAGTTGATAATTAAATGATACATATATTTCATTGTGATAACGGCTTAGGGCTCAATAACATATCCACTGAGAAACCCATTCTTAAACAAGCTACAACTGATGTTCTTTGTCGATGTCAAAGACGCTCTAACATTGTAGTTATTATTAGGAGATATAAGTTTTAACCTCCAACGCTTATCAACGCTTATCAGCTTTAATGTGTTTTAACAGTATTACAACAACAAAATGAAGCAAAACAAAACTGTATGTTTAAGCAAACTCTTTGCTGGAACGTAAGACTCTCTCTGGGTTGTACAAGACTCTTCACTACCAGAAGAGTAATTGTCTCCGCGCTTTCTACAACATAGTTCCATCAGTGGCTTGAAACACGTCTTATCCTTTATCACTGCCTGAGTACAGACATGACAACTCTATATCGCCTTTTTTTCTATAGGTGACACATTTTTAAGGTGATCCATACAGAGACTGTAAGGTTTTAGTATTTGGCAAGTGATTTATAAATAAAGAACACATTAAATACTTAAGCGATATTCTATGTCATTAATTTAAAAATAATTAATAAATTTAAAATAAAATATGTTTTTTTTTATTAGTACAATTATGAAATAATATCCCATAACTGTAGTAGTTTGTAATTTATAATGTTGCACTAGAATAATATTGAGGTATGACTTTGTTTAAAAGGAGTAATGTCAATATCAAACAGTTTCATTAACAACAAGTTTGGTTGGGAAAACAAACAGTTGCCTTTTATTCATCACTTCAGTTTTACGTAACATTTTAAATTTACCTAGTGGTTTCCTTTTGAAATAGGAAATGAACGCTCTTCAAACAATTTGAATGAGCTTCACTTAACTGTTGCATAATGAATGGAGCACTTATCATGCCTGGGCTGAGCTACTAACATTTAAACACTGGTTTTAAATGACGTTGATACACTCGTATATTCCACCCTTTTTAACTATAGTTGACCTACCAATAAAAAATTAGATTTTTAAACGGACAAAATGAATACTAGGATCCATTAAGGTTTTCATGTTTTAGAAAGCTTCTATGATTACAATTAGCAGTGAAAATTTGTATTATCAGTGAAATCAAATATACGTCTTACAAGTAGTTGTATTACTTTAATAATAAAACGATTCGATTGATAACAATAAAAAATCCGTTTATAACTAAATAAACTAATTGAATTTTTCAATTTATGAATGAATTATATTTAATAAAATGGTGTACGTTTAAATATATCCAACAACCAATTATGTAATTTAAAGGAGTACTTAAATAACATTTGTAATGGTTGTCATGAAACTATTCTATTATAAGCATTTGTTTTTGTTGGACATAAGCGACACAAGCTGACCCGACCCAATTCCACTTGAATGTTAAACCCACAGAGAAGAGCGCCGTATTCTCATTGTCTCAGAGAGCTTCCTTTTAAGTCGTGCTTCAGATTCATTTATGTATTCAATTTGTAACCCACCAAGCTCACTGCCTTTGCTATTCTTAACAATGATATTGACTTTATAACGTGTATACTTTTTGCTCTATTCTAACAACACCATTTTATTTGTACTTTTAAAATTGTTGTGTGTGTTTTAAATATTTCCCAAAATTTTTTAATTGGTATTTTAAATAATATAAGGATCATATACATTGATGTGGTCTAATTGATAAAGCCACTTAATTTATCAAATATGCACACACTAAGTGTGAGTACTATAAACATACAGTTGTCAGCAATATGAGTCAGCTATACATTTTTTTATGGAATTTGTCTACCTAAAAAACACGCAGTGTGTCAACATTACCATTCAGTTCTTGGACAATGTTCTCTATTTGCAAATACATTATACGAAACTTTTTCCAATTAAACTATTAAATGTCCACTAATACTAGTACCACTGGTAACTAACGAGCGCAAAGAACGAGCAAATGTTGTGAAAGTCTTCTTTTAAGGCGAAGACAAACTAAAATTTGTTTCCCAGCACTTAACATAACGTTAACAAACATACTTTA